TGTAGAGGGCAGTGTCACTGGCCCTCATATGTGGGATCCGAACCGGGGCCCTCTGGCGTCCCAAGCCAGTTCTTAACCAACGTGCCACTCGGCCGGCCCAAGATTTCATTCTTTATGGTCAAGTAATACTCCATTGTATAAATTTACCACAGTTTCTTTATCCAGTCATCTACCAATGAGCATTTCGGTTGTTTTCATTTCTTGGCTATTGTGCATAGCGCTGCAATAAACATTGGGCTGTGTTTGTTTTTTTTCAAATTAGTGTTTTGGATTTCTCTGGATAGATACCCAAGAGTGGAATTGCTGGGTCATAAGGTAGTTCCATTTTCAATTTTTTGAGATACCTCCATACTCTTTTCCATAGTGGCTGCACCAGCCTGCAATCCCACCAACAGTACACGAGGGATCCCTTTTCTCCACAACCTTGTTGGCACTTGTGGTTTATTGATTTATTGATGATGGCCATCCTGACCGGAGTGAGGTGGTATCTCATTGTGTTTTTTGTTTGCATTTCTCTAACGATTAGTGATGTTGAACATTTTTTTCATATGTCGGCCATCTGTATGTCCCCTTTAGAGAAATATTTCTTCATGTCCTCTGCCCATTTTTTAATTGGGTTGTTTGTCATAATTTTTTTTTAAAATCTCATTATTACTGAGGAAGCTAGGAAGTTGAAATAACTTGAATGAGGATCATACATCTAGCAAAGGTCAGAGCCAAGATTTAAACCCAAGCATCCTGAAAACCACCACAGAGCCGTTCTTTTCTTTTTTTAGTTTCAGGTGTACAAAAAAACGTAATAGTTAGACATTTAAACCCCTCATAAAGTGATAACTCAGCCTCCAAGCTACTACCCCTCTGAAATCTTATATAGCTGTTACAGTACCATCGACTATCTTCCCTGTGTTGTACTCCACATCCTGTGACTATGTATACCTATATATTTAGTTATAGTTGACATTCAATATTATTCTACTTCAGCTTCAGGTGTATAGCACATTGGTCAGGCATCTACACAGTCTATGATATGATCCCCCTGATAAGTCCAGTGCCCATCTGCCACCTTACATAATCTTTACAACATTGTTGATTATATTCTCCATACTATATTAACTATCACCTTATATTTCTTAATGCCTTCACCTTTTTCACCCTGACCCCCTACCTCATTCCCATCTATCACCCTGATAGATCTAGTACCTATCTGGCACCATACCTAGTTATTACAATATTGTTGACTATATTTCTTGTGCTATAACCTACATCCCCATGACTACTGTGTAACAACCAATTTGTTCTTCTTAATCCCTTCCCCATTCACTCATCCTTAACCCCCCTCCCATCTTAAAGTCTCTTTAAAATTCCTTGTAATACTGGTTTGATGGTGATGAATTTCTTCAGCTTTTTCTTGTCTGGGAAGCTCCTTATCTGTCCTTCAATTCTAAATGACAGCCTTGGTGAGTAGAGTAATCTTGGTTGTATGTGATTGCTTTTCATCACTTGGAATATTTCCTGCCACTCCCTTCTTGCCTGCAAAGTTTCTCTTGAGAAATCAGCTGCCAGTCTTATGGGCGCTCCCTTGTAGGTAACTAACTGCTTTTCTCTTGCTGCTTTTAATAATTTCTCTTTGTCTTTAACCTTTCACATTTTAATTATGATTTGTCTTGGTGTTGGCTTCTTTGGGTTTATCTTGTTTGAGACTCTGTGCTCCTGGGCTTGTCTGTCTATTTCCTTCACCAGGTTAGATAAGTTTTCTGTCATTATTTCTTCAAATAGGTTTTCAATTCCTTGCTCTCTTCTCCTTCTGGTACCCCTATAATGTGAATGTTGGTATGCTTGGTATTGTCCCAGAGGCCCCTTAAACTCTCCTCAAGTTTTTGGGTTCTTTTTTCTTTTTGTTGTTCTGGTTGGGTGCTTTCTGCTATGTTATCTTCTACATTGCTGGTTGGATCTTCTGCTTCATCTTATCTACTGTTGAGTACCTGTAATATATTCTTCATTTCCATTACTATATCCTTTATTTCTGACTGGTTCTTTCTTATGGTTTCCATCTCCATTTTTATGAGATCATTGAGCATTCTTTTTTTTTTCTTCAATATTATTGTACGCTCCATAAGCTCTTTTGTATTTCTTTATTTTTTAAAAAAGATTTTATTGGGGAATTGGAGGAAAAACATTGGGGGGTCAGGGAAAGGGAACAGACAAGTTGCTTTTCTTTTGTTCTTCAGTCTAGTTGTGGAGGACGTCGCTTCACTGGCCCATGTTGGTATTGTGATCATTGCGCTCTTCCCGGCTGAGGCAGATCGGTCGCCGGCCATTGGACAGCGGCTGCCAGCTGCTCACACTGGCTGCCAGCTGCTCACACTGGCTGCCTGCCACTCAAGGTAGCTTACGGCAGCCCCACTGCAGCCTAGGCCATTGCCGGCAACTCATGGCAGCCCAGC